TGTAGGTTGCTAGTCTTGGAGAAGGCATTGGTAGTCTTCTAAATATTTTTTTTCTAGAACAGTGCTACATTTGTTTGGCCAATGTCCATGTTGATGTGTTTATATCAGTTTTTGTGGATACTGTTACCCTTGGTTAAAAAAATAGATTGTAGAACTAGCAGAGAATATAATTTTATGAACTATAATTGTAAACAATAGCATTTGTATCAAGGTTGGGAAACTCAGCTGCGTTATCTATTTCATAGGGCCACTAAGTCCTGGAAAAACCCTAAGAAACGGACCAAAAGTAGTAGTTGAATCAGATCAGACTTTACGAGCTTTAAGGTTACCCATGGAATTATCTTAGTTTTGGAATCAAACAAGGCATCTTTTCTAATTGGTTGAATGATGGTGTCATAAACTTACCACTGGCTTCATTTATAAATCATTAAGCTACTGGAATTAGCCAAAGAAGAACAGAAGATGAGGGCTTCCGTTCACGGGATGCCACTAACTATTTGCAGTTAGTACATCATGATGTTGCTACCATCATTGATGCCAGATAGAAGCCTTCAATGTGGCATGGAAGACTACTGTCGTCAGTGACCTGGGCTCACGGAGGGAGAGGTCCTAAATGGTAGCTGCCATGGGTGCTATGGTTTTTTCTTTGGCTTTTTTTATTATTTTCTGAAGGTCAACTAGTACAAGTTAAGACCTGTTAGTGTCATACTTTGGACAGTCACCAATTAGTGCGAGTACTGAGTTGCAACAAAGAGTAGTGGAACATTTATATTTTCCTACCTAATTAATTGATCCCATGTATAGCCCAAGGTAGTTTTGTAAAACAAGAAGCCCCACTTCTTTCATAGAATTTAAGGATTTAGCATTCCGCAACCTCTGGATTTGGCATCTAATAAGTTGGCAATATTGGAGTTGCAATCTTAATGCATGGTCTTTAGAAGTCTTTAAAAGTTGTTGCTGCAGCGAAATTTGGAAATTGGAAAGAAATGAACATTGATTCTGAAAGTGAGTGAGTGCTATTACACAATGATTGCCTTCTTGGTTGATAGATAGCAGATTTTGATAAATCCTTGCTTAAATAGCTGTTCCTAGGAATTCCATGCCGACACTTTCAGCGATTGGCTGTATTGTTGGCACAGAAGAGTCCTTGACAAAGCAAAAAAAAAAAAAAAAAGGGGGGGGTGGGGGTGGTAAAGAAGCCAGTGTGAATTATTCAGTAAAGTGAAAAGAAAGGAAATCTAGTGCTCCACATGGTTCAGTAGTGGCAATGACTAACAGCTGCTTTGTTGGATGGAGAGAGAGTCAAAGCAGACTGGGGGTGGGAGAGGTTGTCAGGGAGAAGAGGAAAGAACCAAGGGTAAGAGCCTTGTAGTTGAGTAAGAGGACAAGAGAGGTTGGTGGATTGGTCATGTCTAACTTCAATACTGTATAAGCTTTTCTTATTTAAAGACACCTTGCGTGATGCATTTCAGTATTCAGTTAATTGCACTAGTTGCGACCAAATTGTTTGGTCCATGGTTAGCACTTTGAGTGATGCATATCAGGTGTTACACTTGCTAGTTGCCAAAATTGCAAATTCACCTTGTAAACTTGGAACTCTTTTGGAGGACGATCAACTGATAATTGCATCCTCAATATATTATTTATTACCACTGTTCTTGGATTCTTATATGGTATCTCTGTATACATGCCACATGATTTCGTTTTTACTGTAATGTGCATTGCACTTTTATAACTGTTGCTATGGATGTTTCATCAATCGGATTCTTTTCTCTTTAAAATTCTGAATTTTGCTTCATGAAATCATCCATTATGTATTTATTTTCTATTCCAGGATGCCTAAGTAGCACTTTGAAGGTTCCAACTGCTAGGACAGCTAATTATCTTCCATATAATATGCTACTTTAGTCGTGTCCTATTGCATTAATGCTATCCAACTTGATTACTTATTTGATGCCACTTTTTTTTCTTTCCAAAACATGACAGAGCATCCATTACTCCCTGGTTCTTTGAGCTGCACAAGTTACAGCAGACCTGGCTTTTGATCATAGCCAACAGAACTTTATAACTCTGTTTCACTGAGGGTTAATCTTTTGTTGACTTGTTGTTACAATAAGAATTTCCACCCACTTAGAAATTTAAGTTAATGAGATTTTGAACTCACTCTCATCGGTGTTCTTTGGAGCACTATAAGTATCAGATTCTCTTTGGCTCCTCATCCAAAATCAATGGGTTCTCATCACATTGGCAGGAATTGCCTTGTCTTTGATCATATCACTGATCTTACCATTTTGGTAGCTTGGATCCTCTTATGTAGTAACAAATCTAATCTAACTTTTGATTTTAGGATTTTTTTGTATAATGCCTTGTTTTATGTGCAGAGTATCTTAATCTGAAAGCATCTTCTCATTATATCATATTATAGGTTGTGGTCCAGAATCATTCCAAATTGCATATTTTTTGTTTATGTTATTTGGTTCTAGATTCTACATTGGTACAATTTCTACATGGCTGATTCATGATGTTCTTTTTGGATCCTTATATTTTATAGCAGTTCAGATAGCCTATGCTTGCATTTGTTGGTCGACATATAGATCCTCAACCACAATCGATGATTCTTGAGGACAACAAGCTTAGAACAGGGGATCCGATACTGCATTCGAGAGAGATAAGAGATCCGATACTGCATTCGAGAGAGATGTGTTCTTGTTTGTTTGATAGTTTTACACAGGATATCAGCTACCTGATCTCTTCCATCCTGGCTTAAGATTGCAATAGAAAGGCTGTAGCATTTGGCATTAACTGCTGTGACACTACACGGTCTGTTTCTTTTGCCTGGGCATATGGGAATAGTCTTGAGTGAAATCCCGTACAGTTGCTCAAGCCAGTCACAATTTTGTGATGGTTATGGTGTACTTGTACTTATCTAGGACATACTTTTAGAAATGGTTAGTATGAATATCTGAATACTATCCAAAGAACGAGATGGAATTATCTGCAGCCATGATATTATAATATTTTTGAAACACTAAAGAGGAGGTACCCCACAATGTCGAAAGAGTGTGATACCAACTAGAAATATCTTTCACCATTCCACGACCCAAGCTGGACCTTGCAATGCTGTCATCATAACATAAACTCCCTATGAATTATGAATTATTGTTAGGTGAATTTTAATAATTATTTTTATAAATATCTCAAATGATATTTGCGCTTAGATGGTATGAGAAGAAGTGCCTTTTCATCTACTTAATTACGAAGCTGCTTGAGTGACCGTAGCTCCCAGATGGCTTGGAGTACCTTTGGCTTTACGAAGCTTTTGCTTTGTATGGGGTTCTCTATGCCAGATTAAGATGAGGCAATCTTGTTGACATGTTTCAGTTTTATAGTTTTGTTTGGAAATATTGTGATTTAGGTAAGATATATTGCAGTTTCTTTACGTCATGGTTTCTTATATAAGATTAACACATTTTATTATTTGTTCCTTTGTTTTAATTCTTTTGACCCTGTAATAACAGTCGCATGACTGCTTATTACTTGTTTATTAAGTTGTTCCATATATTTAAGTGTTACTAATGTATTATTTTTAACTGCTATTGAATTTATAGCTTCTCTTTTAATTGATCATAGAGATGTCTGACCTACGAGTGCTATATTGTACATCAATTGCCAGTGTGATAATGTTTACCTCCTGGCTGATTGATGATTTTGGTTTGTATCGTGATCAATGTTGTATATAACCATCTTTCTGAAACTTTTCCATGTTTCTTTGTCTTGTTTTTTGGCTCAGCGCTGTGAATTTACCTCAGTTAGCATTAACACAACTTATTTTAAGTAAATCAGTGGATTAATCATGATGCTGATATCAAAATAGCTAAAGATGGATTCCATTGGTTTAACATGATACATGATCTCTAAAATGCTCAGACAGAAGCATATCCAAGAACCTGGTTGGAAACAGCCTACCTAATTTGCAAGCTAGATTGTCATGCTGGTGTAGGCCTGACTGTTTTTGTCTGGCCGTTATTGTATCGTCAGTTTAACTATTTTTCGTCTCATGATGTTTTCGAACAATGTTGCGGCTTAACATTCAGGTCTCGACTATGTGCTTTGTAACTTGTGAAAACATCCTGTTTTATAATTATAGTATTAAGAGAATTGTACCTGAAAAAAAACGTGTTAGATTGTAAAGCAATCGAACCAAATCATGTACTGAAGAGCAGGGTGCATTGTAATATTCTGTATAGTGAATATTGATTTCCGAAACAAGACCGGTGTGCTGGATGAATTAGTTCTTTTGCCTTTTTTATATTGTCTCGCATCGTGCATGTACGGTTGTTGCATAACAAAGCGGAAGAAACACTTTGCCAATTCGATTTTATACCAGACGTATTTCTTACATCTTCGATTTTATACCAGTAATAATGTGTTTCAACACGGAGAAGAATAAAGTCTTTGCCAATTCGATTGCTTGTTTCCAACCATAAAAGAATAAAAAAAAAGGGGTTCAGTTTCATTTCTCCTCGTGATTTCAAACGGACAAGAAGATGGAATTGGAGTTTCAACTCGTCGATTCGGAAGGTGTCATCTTCGGTTCTACCGCCTCCACCAAAAGCTTCCGGCGGTGTCGCGCTGCAGTTGTGGATCCGAGTGTGCCGATTCGTGGTCGGAGCACGACGATCAGTGGAAGGTCCATTAATGGCGTGCGAGACTTCGCCGACTTGGGTGGTGGTAGCAGCAGCAGCGAAGAGTAAAGGCAGAGCGGTGAGAGGACAGATCCAAAGGCACGTGATACGTCCGCAGTAATCACACATGCGCGGCCCTCTTTTATTTCCCTCCACAAATAACCCTCCCCTTTCCCTTCCCCCGAAGCGTTCAAAATTTTGCCGCGCTCTTTTCCATCTCCGCCTTCCGTATTCCCTTCCACCCTCAACACCTTCCCTCTTCTCCTATTCTTTCCCTCCTCTTTTTTCCTTTCTTTCAACGCTCTCCCTCCCTCTTATATATCTCAAAACTCCCGCGTGTTCCTAATGGGCCCATCTCTTCTCTCGCTCCGCTGCTTCTGTTCCTCGTCGCAACCATGGCCAAGCACCGCACCGGCATCGCCGGCTGCAGCAGCAGTAAAGCCAAGAATCTCGGCAAGGGGAAGGTCACCCCCGTCCAGATCGCCTTCATCGTCGACCGCTACCTCGCTGATAACCACTTCGCCGCCACCCTCACTGCCTTCCGCTCCGAGGCCTCCGATCTCTTCTCCAAGACCAAGGCCAAAGAGGTACCATACCAACCGTCCTCCCTCGTCTTCTTCCTCGTCTCGTGGCTGCTTTAGACAGTGGAGGGGCTTGTTCGGATGAATGCAGGTGCCGAAAGGGTTGCTAGGGCTGGGCGAGATGCTGGATGAGTACATCAGCCTCAAGGAGCAGCGGGTGGTGCTGGACCAAGAGAAGCGGAGGGTGGACATGGCGCTGCACGGCATGCAGGAGGTTCTCCGGGCGTACCACTCCGCCGGACCCGCCTCTCTCCCCCCTTCTCCCTCTCTTCTCCCTCCCCAGTTTGTGGCCACCCCCGTGACACCGATCCTTCCCGCATTGTACGCTAGCACCAGCGGATCTCCACCAGGTAAACGACCTCCGGCTCCAAATCTCACCATTCCGCAATTGCTTGTGTTTTCTCCCCAATGCCATGCAACTGTTTGCTGTTTTTCTCCAACGAGAGGGGGAAAAAAACAGCAATAGGATACATGGATCCGAAGTGTTTAAGACTGCGAGATAGGCCTATCTCTGGTCCCCTGGTCGATCACCATGCTGATGAATCGGCATGCTGGATACATAATCGTCACAATCAATGTTCACAGATGAAACCATCTTTGTTGAGTTTGGTTGAATCTCACATTGTGCCATCTTCCCATTGATAGAAAAAATACTTGTTGCTTTGTTTCTGAACAACATAGTTTCACGTTATAACTGTGGGGAACACAATGGATGATGTGTATGAACTTGCTGCTGTATCAGAATACAATATGATAGATATCATGCATGCTGTAAACTGCTGTGCAAGTTCCTGTTTGATTTATTATCACTTCGAACTGAATCTTTTGTCTGAATCATGTCAGGTCATATGGTAAATGGAACACCTGTTATGAATTATGCGCAACCATCCACCTTGTTTCCTCACAAATCAGATCTTAACAACACTTCTTCGCTGCCTAGTTCTTCTAATGTTAACAAGAGAAAGGCCTCGAGGCCTTCTCCTAATCTTCCTTCAGAACCGAAGAAACAACGGGTTCAATCACCTGTTTTGTCGTCTGCTATGGAAGGTAACAACATCATTTATATGCAAATGTCAGTATCCTTTACAATGCCCTCTGCTTTACATGAATTCACTCGTCTTTTGGATCTTCAGGTGTTGCATTAACCTCTCAGGAAGCGCCGACCGTGAAAGTTCAGGAAAAAGTAGAATTATCATCCACTAGTTTTCTAACAAATAATTCCCCACTTCAAGCTTCATCTGCTGGAAGTAGCTTATTGAAGCAGCCTTCTGATTGCCAGAACAATTCGTCGCCCAAAACGCCTCCACAAGCGCTGCAATGTCAAGTTGACAAATCAGGTTCCCCGATGGACGTTACATCTTTGCAAACCGGTGATGGTGGCAGCTATAAACCGATTGGTCCATCGAATTGCTCCATAATAGCTTCTGAAACTATCATAGTCAGCCCCATCAAACATACGGGGTATTATGCTGTTGAGCGGAGCTACCATATTGCTTCACCATATAAACTAAATTCAAAGACCAAAAGGGGGCATATCAAAGGGAAGCTAGATTTTGATGCCCCCATTGTTACCACTAATGCTACTTCCAGTTCAGAAGAACCAATGGCTGTTGGCAGTTCGACATCTTCAACTGAGGATGAAATGTCTGGGAGCTTTGACATTGATCTTCCAGATTTAGATATCTTCAATGGTGATTTCTCCTTTTCTGAGCTTTTAGCCGATATCGATCTTGACTGCGAAGTGGATACTTCTTTTCAGCCACTCTCTTCTTTTGTTCATTCGGTTCCAAGGTAATCCATGCATCTCTGTGTTGCTTTGGCACATCTTTTCCATTGTTTCTCTTCATGCATTTTGAACTTTACAAACTGAACCCAGTTACGAGGATGATGCCGGAAATGGATGCTCGAGATCAGATCAACCGGATAGCCCTCTCTCGACAGCAATTGAAGTGTTCTCCGACAAGGATGTGAACATTCAAGGTTACCGAACATTGACCCCCCAAAAAAAAAGTCTTTTGCATGATATGTTTCTAATGCTTAGCTACTTTATCCTAACCTTTCTCGCGTCACATTTGATGATGACAGGTCCAGATTGTGTTGCCTCTGTGAAAACCGTAACCAAGTTTGTCAAGATTGTAAACCCCGGTAGGTTAGGCTTCTGTTGTCTTTTTACCCCTCACAATATTGCTTGAACGTGTTTAACATATAGATTATCTTTGTGGATCAATTCACAGTTACAAGCAGAAGAAACTCTTCATCAAATCAAACAAATTCACCGGCAAAGGAGTATGAGAGCTGAAGCATACTTGGAATCAACCCTTTTTTCTGTGATCCGGAGACTACTAACTATTCTGTAGTTTATCTGTATATCTGCAGCTTAATTCTTCTCACCCATCCTTTTGTCATTGTACCACACTAAGAATCATTCAGATTAATGGATGATTGATTTTCTCTGAAAAACTCTGTTGGCTCTCACTTTTGCTCTCATGTTAGCAAATGATGTCTTTGTGAAAGATGCATGACTTTGTTTGTGGTCATTCCAAGAACCGGATGTAATGGATGGTGAGTGAGTGGGTCTCTCAGAAATAATTACATCTTAAATTTATGAGAATATGGTTTGCTTAAATATTTGGACGCTCAAATCTCTTATTTTATGGTAAATGATGAAAATGGGATTACAGTTCAGAATCTCGTAGTAATAAATTATCAAAATTCTTATTAGTTTTGATACCCTTCAAATGAATAATTGATTTAATGATTTTTTTGTATTAATTTGTAACAATAATTTATTTATTTATTTTTTTGCTTTGTAGGGAAAGAAAGTAAAATTATCGATGAATATATGTTAAAAGAGTTTTTCGATAATATTATATCCAAAAGGCATAGTCGAGAGTCATAAATATTTTCATAATATTGCAACATGTTGACCAAGGTCTATGGCACGTGCGATGCACGAGTCGTAGTCATTAGGGAAACCGCCTCGGGAGTTCTCATTTCCGGAACATTTGCCCCTTGTCATTATCTCTCTGTGGACTGCGGTTAGGCGGTCGGTACTCTTCCTTTCCTCCTTTCCTCTCGCTTCTTTAGACGCCGAAGACATCGCCTCTCTCACTTCCCCATGGAGACCAAAGCCGAGCCCGCCGTCGAATCCGCGCTTCCCCCCCATCCGTCGCGCCATTCGACTTCATCCCCGTCTTCCCCCATCCTCGTCGACGACTCGGCCGGCGGATCCGCGTCCGCGGCGGGGGAAGGGAGCGGCGCCGATGTGGTGATGCTCGAAGGGCCGGCGAGCGGCGGGGGTGGGGGCGGGGCCGCGGTGGAGGACCGCGTGAAGGGGCCGTGGTCTCCGGAGGAGGACGTGATCCTGAGCCGGCTGGTGAGCAAGTTTGGGGCGAGGAATTGGAGCCTGATCGCGCGGGGAATCCCCGGTCGTTCCGGGAAGTCCTGCCGCCTCCGCTGGTGCAATCAACTCGACCCTTACGTCAAGCGCCGACCCTTTACTGGTACTTCCTCCTCTTGTTTGTTCTTTGGTCTCTGCTCCCAAACCTCGTTTGCTACCGTGTCGATCATCCCCTCTTTTGGATCGTTCGATGATGGTATCAGTTCGGTTTCTATTTGTGCAATATTGCGGAGCATCCTGAGATTCTGGGTTTACATTGGCATCCGAATCCATCTAAGGATTTGGAACCATTAACCGTGAATAGGAGTTTGAAGTTCACAGATATGAGGCAATAACTAGAATCACTATGGTAATTTTGTCTTTGGAGTCAAGCCTTTGAGGATATGTTTCTTTTCCTCATTTATGTGCGAATGACTCAAAATAAGAATATCTTTGAACTACAAAATGTTTGAGAGCAGTTGAAGCGTTGAATATGGAATGGGTGTTGATGGAGGCACAAATGTTTGAGGATGCCTGCAGTATTGATATTTTTGCTTTTTCTGCCAGTAAGTTCAGCAATAAATTTAAAGCAGTGGATCATTTCTTGCATTGTAGGTTGCATTGGCTCCGTGTTAAAATTGGCATAACCTAGATAGTGTGGATATCGTTCTTACTTTTGTTGAGTCGCTGGTCCAGTTCAACTAAACTGTTGTTTGGTAGATTAAAAATAGGTTATCTGGGTTAAATATAGCCAACGAGAAAAAACATGGAGAAAAATTGGGGGAAGGATGGTTATATTGATATACGGTGGGTGTGAAAATAGACACTCATAGGTGATATACTGTGTTATATTTTGTGTTCATTGGGTTTACTTCTTGGTGACCAGATTAAGTTATCCTACCTATGTTCTGTTTTGTTTGGCAGGACAAATTTTTGACCCACCATTTAAGTCTTTGCTACCCTTAAACCAAAATCTCACTTAGGGATTTAGGAGGCATGATAACCTTCAGATTACTCTCTTTATGGAAATTTAACGTGTATTCTGGAAAGTGGTTAATCATGACGGAGTGGATAAATATACTATTGATGGTAGTTCTTCTAGTCACACAGGCTTGTCTATATATGGCTGGATGTACACTGGCCATTTAAGGGTTTTTTTTTAAATTGTTTCTGTGCTAGTTGCTACTTCATTTTTTTAGCAGATTTTCTCCTAATTACGATTCTATGTTCATTCGTCCTCTTTAAAAAGGTGCCATTCAGGATGGTAGCACCAGTTTTTTTAGTTTTGAAGTTGTTATGATATTTATTTAAAAAAGAAATTTTCAAATACTTCTGGCATCCACTGGAATACATTCTTGATTGGGTGATCAATTAAAATATTTAAAGTGATGGACATCCAGTTCTTACATTACAGTAAAGGTGCATTCGGTGTCAGGTTGCTAGCAATTATATTTTCTGTGGCATTCACCAGTATTAAAATTATTAGAACTCACTAGTATTAAGATCATCAAACTGCTAGTTAATCATTTCCCTAGCGGAGAAGGCTGCTAGCCAACTGTTAGAACCCTTTTTCTGAGCTTTTGAATAATGTTTATTGAGTCAGTTTAGTTCAGTTGTTTATTGAGTCTGTTTAGTTCAGTTAGAATCGGGTAGAAGTTTATTTAATATTTAATTATTATTAAGAGTCCAAGTCCTGATGGACTCTAGGTGGAACTCTATAAATAGTGATGTAACCCTTTCTTTAAATCAATCAATCAATGAAATATTATTCCAGTTTGTTATGACAAACCTTAGGAGGTCGATCTCCTCGAAACGATCAAGGAGGCCGATCCCCTCGACGCGATCATTCACTTTTCTTCCATTTCTTTCATTTCTTTTACGATAAGACTTTTGGGTCTTATCACCAACTATCTAATTAGCGGAATGGTTTAGACGTTACCAGATTGTATTGTTGGACAGACCTCATTTTGTTTAGATAGGTGTCTCTAGCATCCAATTTAAGATCTACAGACATTTATAATTTAGAAAGTGGTTTTCAAGTAAGCCATGATGAGCTTTTTTGTGTCATTTGTAATGAGAAGCTGATATGAGAGTGTATATTTTACCAATTCTTTTTCTATGGCCTGGTGATTGTCACCATGTGTTTGCTTTCTTTTTTCTTGGATGCTTTCTTGAACACCCCAAATGGTGTCACATCTATTCTTATCTGATCTTTGAACAAGACAAACTATTTCTGTAGCCAACATATGCAGTGTTTTCGGATTAAAGAGTTTGGCCTTTCAATTGTCAGCTTTGTTGCAGTTCTCTTATCCTTTTGTTACAGAATACAGAATTGGTTAGTTTGACTCTTGCATTTCATGATGAACTCGAGTTGTTGTCTTAATATTGCACTTTGTAGACAGTCCGAGTAGTTGAAGAGAAATAGGCTGTCAATTCATCTGTTACAGTGCAATGCCTTTTCTACTTGTTTATGGCTTGATTGTCTCAGCTGCCGGACAGTTGGAATCGGCAATGGGGCCCATGTGGGACCCATCTCTGGGGTTGTTTCTGTCTCCAATTTTAAGGCAAGTAGGTGAGATGGGTGGGATTTTAAATGAGTAAGAGTTGAAGTAAATTAAAGGGACAGACTTGCCATTGCTGTCTTATCTCAGCTGGTTTATAGCTGAACAATCTACAAGACCAACTTTGGCCTGCCAAAGTAAAGAGTGAACAATCTTCTTTGTGTTATAAACGATGTTTAGGTGCGACATGTAATGAACAAGCTCATGTATGTTTGCTGCAGAGGAAGAGGACCGTATCATTATTGCTGCTCATGCAATCCATGGTAACAAATGGGCATCGATTGCAAGGCTTTTAGAGGGGAGAACTGACAATGCAATAAAGAACCACTGGAATTCCACTTTGCGTCGTAGATGTACGGAAGGTGAACGGCATAAAACATGTGATACTCCTCGGGAAGTTAGCATTGAGAAAAACAAAGGTCCTTCAGATGAGTCTCCGTCTTTTGACAATGTCAATTCCTTGAAGTCCATGGAATTAAGAGACCCTAGTTCAAGGGAAAATGTTTCCGACAATTCCGGAGAGGTTGTCATCGTCAGAAATGAACCGCCCAAGCCTGAGATAAAAGACCCACCCTACCTCTTCCGACCAATTGCAAGGGTGAGTGCTTTCAGCCCATATTCTTGTATATCTCGTCAGCCGAGTGGTCTTGAAGTGGCAAGACGAGGCCAACCGGATGGCCCTCTGTATGAAGCATTGAAACCTGGTGGTGACATCTGCAAATTCCTTAACAATATCTCCTGTGAGCCTCAGGTTCCACAACGATGTGGGCATGATTGCTGTGGCATTCAAGATAAGGGTCGTTCTAGTGGCTCATTGTTGGGTCCCGAGTTTGTTGAGTTTGAAGAGCCTCCACCCATTTCAAGTCATGAATTGGCCTCGGTGGTAAAAGATATTAGCAGCATTGCTTGGCTTAAAAGTGGCTTGAACGGTAGTAGCACCATATGCTAGTCATCAGACAGGTGGATTTAGCAGTACATATCTGATGATTAACATAAGAAAGAGGATCCCGATGGTCATTTCTGCACCTTAAAGCAATGTAAGCTGATTCAGTGAGCATGATGAAGCGGTGGTTAGCATCAGAAAAGAAAACAAGAATTCAGATGTTTGACCGGAGGTCTACTTGGAACTGTATCGAGTATCCATTTCCGACAGCAAAAACATTGTCCCATTGATCATTGTGGCATCGTCCTGTTGCGGTTCCAGATGACTACATCATTATGATGATGATGCTGTTGTATTTCATTGTCTAGGTAAGTACTCCATGAATTGTCAAGACCTGCTTTGGGGAGCACGTGAATATGCTTCAAATGGATCAGAGCTCTGTAAGAACCTCGGAAATTTTGGTACTTTAGACTTGTAGTTTCTTTTTGCAATTTGTGGTACTTAAGACAGGTTTTTCTTTATATATATATATATATATATATATATATATATATATATATCCTGTTTAATGCTATGGCAGGTATATACACTTCCTAATGGTGTATTTACTAGTGGACCTTCTCGATAGGTAATTTGTGTGTGTTTGCTGCACAGCTACCGCCGACATTACAGAACGAGTTAGGTTCTTGTTTTCGACGTTTTGTAAACAAATGAAAGCATGCTTTTACTTGTTAAGTTTGAATAAGGTTGAACTTATAACACTTGGTTGATGAGAAAGTTTTATCATGCAGGGGTAATAAGTATAAAATGGTTTTTCATTTTGTTTATTCTTTTCTCTGTTTTTGTGGTCGATATGTTGTGGTAGTGGTACTTAATCAGGACTTGCTGTCACGAGGGAGAGAAGATAAATAAATATAGTGAACTGGGGAATGATGGTAGAGAGTAGAGAATTTGATGTCTATATGTCATTCAAATGTTACGATAGTTCGCCTGAATTTTATGAATGTTTCTGTTTCCAGTGAAGTTTATGCTTTAATCCTGTGTGAAGTGTAACTGAACGATTCAGACAACTTTGAACAATAATTTATTTTTCCTTTCAGCATACCTTAATTTGAAGGGAGTACGCTTTCAGCTTCTCCTCCTCCACATCGACCATCCATGGCTGCCTATATAGACGACATTCGTCTCAGGGGCGCCTCTTCCGATGGTGGTGGTGGTGGTGTTATGTAGCGGTCTCTGGTGAAGTTGGATTCTTTCACACCAAACCAAACCAAGCCTATGCATGCTGTCTGTGTTCATCGGTACCCATCGAAGCTATAAGTTGATCCTTCTTTTTGTGTGTGTTTGTTGGCTTCAAAGGATAGATACTAACGAGACCATTTAACGACGACCCCTTTCATCCGATAAAACTCATAACGAGAGTGTTACCAGTAGTACTCACCCGAGCCCAACAGGTTTCGACTTGAAAGGGCAGTGTGGTTATGATTAGATTTTGAGTCGAGGATTAATTATTACGTTGTTTGATTATACGCCACATAATAGATAGATTTAAATTAATTTCCATGATTATCTCGAAAATGTTTTTTTTTTATAATATTATTGTTATTTTTTTTTCTCTCTCTCTCTCTCTATGATTCCTGTAATTTTTAGGTGGGAATTGGTTTCAACGGAACATTCATTTTCCGACGGTGGATGTCCATTGAATCATAGATAGTTCCGTTGGATCAGGTGGTGGAGGCTGAAGAATGGTTGTTTTGGCAGGGTCGTGGGTACGTGCATCTGGGCACGGCCGATGTCTGCTTTTACCTCCGTCCCCCACCCCCTCCATATTCCTCCTCCCTACCTTCTCTCTCACCTTTCGGGCCGACCGCTTCGTGCTGGTACATACCTATGATCTCTCTCTCTCTCTCTCTCTCTCTCTCCTGTTTGCCTCACTTGATGCATCTTCCTCCTCAGGTTCGCTGGGTTCCCTACGTCTCCCGCGGCATGGCGGAGGCAACGCGATCCTCCGATAGCAAGGAGGAACCAAATCATTCGGTTGTTAGCGTACACGACCGTGACGGTTCGTCTCCACAGCCGCGCACAAATTCCTCCGGCTCGCCCTCTTCCCCTGAAGTAGATCCGGAGAGTGGGCTCTCGGTGAATCCAGAACGCAAAGCTGCGAGGGAGTGCAGGATTTGTTATCTCGCCTTGGAGAACTCTGCTTCGGAATCGGGCCCCCCCATCGTATTGGGTTGTTCTTGCAAACATGATTTGGCTGTCGCCCACGAGCGATGCGCCCAAACTTGGTTTGAGGCTAAAGGAAACAGGTAAACTACCTTCTTTCGCTCCTTCCTTCCATTCTGATGCACGCATAACGTAGAGGGCTTTGCTTTAATCACTTCTGCTGCCCTGTTTCTCGATGCATCTTTTATGTTGTTTCGATGAAGAACATAGGCGTCGACAATTTATGATGTATACTCTTCCTTTGTAGAATGTGCGATCAAAACAGTGGAATGCAATCATTTTTGTCACTCTGATAAAAACTATAGTACCGATAAGCTTCCTTGTGTGTCGGAGCGTACATACATACATACAGTTCTTTCTGCTGTTCATACTTGCTCCGAGGTGTTCTTGCACCTCTGCTTAGCAGTGCTGCCGAGGAAATAATGTGTCATCAATTCAGCTAGTTAGAAAACTACAAGTCCACAAAATAATGTGTCATCTCTTCTTATTCTAAACATTACTCTCAGCTTTTTCGGTGTGCTCAAGTCTGATTACTCTGTAGAATTCATTCATGCAGGAAGTCTCGTTCGTCGTATGTTTTAGTGTCAGCTCTCCTCTGGGATCGCTGGATTTGTTGTATCTTATGCTGGTCCTCACATTTAAAGGACATATGTTTGTCCTTTAAATGTGAGGACATCTTGCTTAACTTGGGCATCTGCAGCGAGTTAATTTGTGGGCTTGGGTTCATCTTGTCAGGATCTGTGAGATTTGTGGCTCCACTGCAAAGAATGTGGTTGCTTCAGGTGATGCTGCGTCCACGGAGCAGATGAACGAGGGTGACGACCCTGCGATGGCGCCTGCACAGCCATCATCATCATCGTCGTCAGACCGGAGCTTGTGGCGCCGGCAATGCTTCCTGAACTTCCTACTAACTTTCCTGGTGTTTCTATGTGCCTTCTCCTGGCTATATCATTACAACCTTCCTTACTAAACTCCAGACTCCGGTCTTCTTCGTGCTTTGGGAAAACACCTGAAAAGGTTTGATCAGATTCGTGTTTGTGGTCGTCGATGCTCTTTAAATGACAGCTCTGTAGAATAATAATTCTGCTTTGGAGTTTATGTTAACTGTAAACCTGTTTCTTGCTTTCTTTTTCTTTAACATGAAATTCTACAGTTTATTTTTTTCTATCAGTTATTGAGTTTAAAAATACATTTCATATTTCATCAATTATTTATTATTTTACACCCATAACATACATTTTAAATCATGAATGTGAAAATAACTAATTTAACAAAATATAAGGTTTGGTTTGATTTCGATTTCTGATTTTGAAAACTCAAATGCCATCGATTTCGGAATTAAAATTAAAATTAATATATGCTAAATCTAAATTTAAATGAGGTATATAATATAGTGTTGCCTTGTTATCTATCATGTGAGCTCTGCCGTTTCCCCGCTAATTTCTCTCGGTCACCCGTTGACGTGCGACGTTCCTCTTCCCCAATCCGCCCTCTCAGTTCTCCATTTCGCTGTTCTATTCGTTCGATCCGATCGGAATCAGGTGCCGCTCCATCTTCCGATCCATACTCCCATCTTCTCCCTCCTCCTCGTCGGCATTGACTCCCATCTCGCCTCCTTGCAACCCATGATCTAGATCGGTGGGAGGACAGGGAGGAGGGGCAGGAAGCCAAGATGGCTCACCGAGTGGATCACGAGTACGATTACCTCTTCAAGATCGTCCTCATCGGCGATTCCGGCGTCGGCAAATCCAACATCCTCTCCAGATTCACCCGCAACGAGTTCAGCTTGGACTCCAAATCCACCATCGGCGTCGAGTTCGCCACCAAGACCCTTCAGGTCAGCTGCTTCCGATCCCTAATCCTCCTCCAGATCTTGCGGTGATAGTTGGTTCCGTTGAGTGTCTGGTTCTTCATATCATGCAAATCGTGTTTGTGCTGCTCGCGGTGCCATCGGATGATCGTGCCCGAGCATCATTAACCTCTGGCGGATGAACGACGAGGAACGGTTCCGCTTGCACCTTTAGCATCTCGTGAATTCTAGAGATAGCAGAATATTGATTCTTCTCTTGTGGGCGTTTAGGATCCGATGGAATTCGGTTAGCCAAAGACTTTTCTGGGCATGAAAAAATAGCTTTGAAAATTGAAGACAAACAGATATATCTTAAAGCCATGAATTTCTTGACGCTCTTGATCTTGTAATTTCACAAAATTTCGATGAATTTATGTCATCATGACATCAACGATGGAAATAGACAAAGCGTGCTTTTAGCTCGATCGGGGTAAACAGGATCACGAGTGACCTTTAAATGGTCGAGGAGTTTTTTGAAGGTTGACAAAAGAAGACTTGTATCCTTGTGCGTCATTCATTTTGTTCCCAACTCCAGATTATTCTTTTCTCCTTGTGAACTTGGGTTGGATAATTTCAATCGGTTTTTGGATTCTGTATTCACCGTAGTAACAATTCTTTTCTCCTTGATCCTCGGACCAGAAGTGAAAGAGGCTTTGGTCGATGCTTTACGATTTCAAAAGCATATTATCTGTGATCTTTGTTTTGCCTTTATGGGTGTCGAACGAGTTGCATTTGTACATTTGACGGTCTTGAGAAGATGTTGCTCTGTTCTATTTTGTTTGGAGTTTATTCTGACCAGTAAATTGATTCGATGACAGATAGAAGGGAAGACGATCAAGGCGCAGATTTGGGACACCGCAGGTCAAGAGAGGTATCGTGCCATAACCAGTGCGTATTACAGGGGTGCAGTGGGAGCACTCCTAGTCTATGACATGACCAAGAAGCAAACCTTCGACAATGTCCAGAGGTGGCTTCGTGAACTTAGGGATCACGCGGATTCCAACATCGTCATCATGATGGTGGGTAACAAGTCGGACTTGCAGCATCTGAGAGCGGTTTCAGAGGATGACGGCCAGGTTTTAGCCGAGAAGGAGGGGCTCTCTTTCTTGGAGACTTCAGCACTGGAATCACTCAACGTCGACAAGGCATTTCACTCGATCCTGACGGAGATCTATCGCATCATAAACAAAAAGGCACTCGCAGCCAAAGTGGCAGCAAAGACAGCAGCCCCCCCGACTCAAGGCACGACCATCGATGTATCTGACTCTGCTGGAGGCTCAAAGGGTGCTTGTTGTTCGACCGCTTAGGTGATTGCATTTCAGAATTAACACTTGTGTTCTGCTTCCCGGTCTAGATAATGATTTATAGATTAAAAGATCATGATAACGTCGTGTAGTGCAAATCGTGGACACTTGAAAGTTTCGGAGACACAGCATCCCAAGATTGTGGTTCCCTTTTTTGTCTCTTTTTGTACTTTTTTTCAGTCCATTGTTTAATGATTAATTTTCTTTCGCAGATGTGAGTTCATTTCCAGTTTTGCTTAGTCATTGCAGGGTTGCACACCCAATGATCCATTAGAAATTCTTCGTATGATTCTTTTTTCAGTTTTAATTTATGATACATCTTTTAATTCAAGTAAAATATATCATAAACTGTACTATTAGGTTAAAAGGTGCTCGAGATTGAAGCTACCAGCATACATAAACATGTTCTGATATTTATCTTTCTTAATATAATACTCTTTCTGCCAGCTTTCAGTCCTATCTTCGAAGGACCAGTGGATTGCGGCAGGCCGACTCCCAGAATCCAATCCCATCTGATCCAATAGTATGCCTGTGGATTATTCGCGCACCTACACGACGTGTGACGTGGATTTCGTCGTCTTCTTGCTCCAAAGTCTCGCTCCTCTCCGGTGATGCAGCTGTCATTTGTCTTCATCTCGGCACACTATATGCTTCATTCCCCATCCCCACCACGTGAATAGTTTTAATCGCCGTCGTTGAAATCCAAGCCGGCAATCGCATTAAAGATCGACGTTCCATCCATCCACATCGCTATAAATGCCACGTTAGACTTTAGCTCCTTATCCGTCGAGGAGCAGCCCATTTCTCCTCGTCTCGATCGCTCTCTCCTCCGTCCTTTTCTTCCTCGCCACCCTTTCCTCCGCCAATGACAGCAATGTCTTGCTCACCGGCGACGTCCTCGGCACCGACAGCCAGCTCTACTATCGCGGCGCCACCTTCGTGATGCAAGGTGACTGCAATCTCGTCCTCTACAACAAGGGCCGCGGCTTCGAGTCCAACACCCACGGCGAGGGCGTCAACTGCACACTCTCGCTCGGCGACCGCGGCCAGCTCGTCATCACCAGCTCCGCCGGCTTCACCGTGTGGACCTCCGGGGTCGCTGGCAACGCCAAGACCGGCAAGTACGCAGCCGTCCTCCGACCCGACGGCGAAGTGGCCGTCTACGGCCCCGCGGTGTGGTCGACCCCTGACTTCCGCTTCGGCGCCGCCGGGCCCAACGAGGCGGAGCTGGCCGCCATTCCCATGGTGGATAACCTGTTGTTCTCGTCCCAGGTTCTCGACGGTGGTTCTAACCTCGCGACCAGGGACTACACCTTCGTCATGAAGGACGACTGCAACCTGGCTCTGATAAAGGGCGGGACCATCGTTCTGTGGCAGTCCGGGACGGCGGGCAAAGGCCTCAACTGCTTCCTCCGGCTGGATCACCTAGGGCAGCTCGCCGTCGTAGACGACCACAAGTACAAGACCCTTTGGACCAGCAAGAACGTATCAAGCGAAGGAGACTATGTGCTTATCCTCCAAATCACCGGACAAGCTGTCGTCTACGGACCTGTGGTCTGGTCAACCTCGCAAGCCAACTGATCGGCCGCCCCTTGCACCACCGCAGACAGCATTCCTGCTTCATTTTCCCTCACGCATGGACGATGAAATAAGAACACCATAATTAACTCCTTAAGTATGCTATCCACAGCATTCCTGTACTCCACACAGTGTCCCAAGCAACACACCGATGCATGGCTTAAGCATGAGTTAGTATCTTTAAACAAGTCTTACGAGTTTATAATGATGAGATGGACATATTAGGATTGATGAGACGTGCAAAACATGATCCATAATGTTCTGCACATTAACCCTTGAATCATGGAACATGAGAGTCAAGAGAAGACTGCCATCTTCAAACATCTTCACACCATAACAACTGCAAACCATATATATATATGTGATGAATCAAGAAAACATAAAACATATATATATATTATTAAACGTAAATCACAACACGTTGTCTGGGTGGTGTAGTCGGTTATCACGCTAGTCTCACACACTAGAGGTCCCCGGTTCGAACCCGGGCTCAGACACAGTTTTTGTGTTTTTTGGGTCAACGGATTCTAGCTGTCGGATTCGGATCTGGTTTTCTTTTGCTGTCGGATTCTCTAATTTAGACCATTTTTCATTTTATGGATTCTCTAGTTCAAACCCGTTATTGTTACTGGCGGATTCTGATCGGGTTTTTGGACTCTCTTCAAGGCCGTCAGTATTGTCGTCGGACTCTCTTACTAAAACCCGTTAGCTGGTTCTTGGGTCATTGTTCGAGGGATTGGCGCTGCCTCATACGGCCTCGTGTTGCCATCACGTCGCGGGAGAGGAAACAAACAGGAAGAAGGGCGAAAATATTTCTCCTAGATTAGGGTTCCTCCGAGAAGAAGAAATAGAGGGAGAAGAGGAAAAGAACGTTCGATTGTGATTCGAAGAATGGTCGATCCGAAGACGGCGATCCCCTTTGTCCGATTCTTCTACTGCCGCTGAGGGTGCTACGCCATGGAAGAAGGCTACACCAGCCTCCCCACGAGCCACTTGCTCGGTTCCGTTCCCGTACGTCTTTCTCTTTTCCTGATTTCCTTAGCTCTTTTTACCATTTAGATTATCGTTTTGCCTTTATTAATTAGATCTTCCCCCAATCTATTGATGATCTGATCGGAAATTTCCAATCGGCATTTAGTTTCACGAGACGAAATGATCTCTTTTCCTTCTTTCTTCCCCAATTTAGTTAGGGTTTTTTTTTTCTCTTTCTTGCAGTTCGATTAATTCCACAAGCGAATCGTTAATTTGATTTCCTTTTACATTCGTACCCTTTGGATGAGATTTAGAATGAGAGCTTGTTTAAAGTGTTATTTGCTTCTGGAAACTTTCTTGCGTCATTGATTGTTTAGATGAGTACTATCTGAGTGGTAGGAGTTGGTCGTTAGTACCTTCTTTTCTGTAATTGCTGCTTAAACTTTGTTTTCTTGATATGTGTAGTTAAACTGTTGAAACTTTTGGTGCAGGCTGTAATTGCCGAAGAAAAACCGAGCGCCGGCGCTAGCCAATCTAGTACTTCAATTCGTCCTCCCCACTAGGGAAAATTAAAAAAAGAATGGATCTTGTGATTTTTTTTTTTTGCTGAATATCCTTGTCAAAATCTAACTTTTTTGGCATGTTGTTTGATTTCTCTTGCAGCCTTACCTGCAAACTTGCAAGTTTTTCCGCCTGGCAATGGTGGATACATACCACCTGAGAGTCCACTTGGTATGCATGTTAAACACACAAGGCATACTCTTGGTACTTCATTTTGTGCCTTTTTCATGCATGTTGTTCTTTTTGTTATAATTGTGCATGGAAAGCATTTTATTGTTTCTTCTGAACATGCTTCTCTATTAGACATATCGATGATGAGATTGATAACTGCTGCAATCTGCATCATATATCTACAATGCCTAGGGCTAGACTTTGTTAGACAGATACAGGCCCTCGAGTTAACAACGTTATATGAGCAATGGGCGTCAAACTTTATTCTATTCGAGAATCCTTTTGGTTTGATTCATAGAACGGGTGTTGAAGGTTGAAACCTCGTCTTCTATGTTCCTTTAATGTATCACTTACTCCCACAGATTTGCACACTAGTGTTTGTGTATTTTTGTACTATTTGCAATCTTATGTTGTGAAATAAATTGGCTCAGCTAGGTTTAGCTTTTGTAGCTCCACTTCAACTCATATGAGGTCAAAGGTTGAGTCATCATAGTTTAGAATTCATACTTCTTTTCATATATAAGTATGTTTCCGCTCACTGTATTTCTTTGTTATTTCGTATACCTCTGCTTTTTCGAAATATAATTTTTCATTTATACAGGTGGTGAAGAGCAAGCTGCAAACAACTGGAAAGGATTTTGTAGTTTATCATCATATACCCCATATTTCAATGTTGACACTGATGTGGTTGTAGATAGAATCATTAGTTCGGTGTATCCAATGGATGAGTTTTCAAGGAAGATCGATGGGAGTCCTGATCTGTGAGTTGCTCCTCTACGCATCCATCATTAGCTTTTATGTGCTGTACATAATTATTTGGAAACTTATCTGAGTTAAAGCTTATTCCGATTGTAGCTTATAGTTTCAGATCTTGTTAGTGATGACCAAACTCAAATAAGAAAGAGCAGAAGAGGAGGATGGCTGTGGGTGATTGATAAGAAAAATCTTTTTATGCATCAGCTGAAGGCTTTGAGCAGACCAATATTGTTTTTTCTTTTCTTCTAAATAATCATCTTTCACTGACTAACTAAAGTAGTACTGTAAAAGAAAATTATTTATAACTTTTGTGAGAGCTTGTTTCGAGGATCAAGACTAATAGCTGACTATCATATTTGGCATTTCTTAAAAGTATTGTCTGGTTTATGCATGTAATATTAAACTAAGAATTGATATTCACAATAGTAGCACTTCTAGAGTGGTCTTCCAGTACAGTGTATAGGAGTTTTGGTCCACAGAAATCTGAGAAATTCCTTGGTCCTCTTTCCTATCATTCATTACTCCATAAGTCATGGAGTACACAATTCCTTCTTTTTTTTTTTCTCGTAACATGCTGAATTTGTACTATTTTCATCGAGTTTTGTAAGTTGCATATGCTTCAGCTGATAATGCATCTAATGTATTAGGTACGGCCCTGTTTGGATCTCAGCTACGTTGGTCTTCATGCTTGCTGCCCTTGGAAACTATGGCACTTATCTGATTCGGAAAAGAAGTGAACCAAATGGTGATTGGGAATTTGATGTCAGTTATGTAGATTGGGCAGCATGTGTGGTATTTGGTTATGCAGTTGCTGTACCAGCTGCCTTCTACTTCTTGCTCCAGTATTTTGGACTTAATGCAAACCTTGTACGCCTTTGGTGTATGTGGGGTTACTCTTTGTTCGTCTTCATACCTGCTTCGGTAAGTATCTTTTTCTTTCCCCTTGTTTCAATGATAAATAAATTGTTTATTCTGCTAGATACTCAGGATGACTTAGCTCTGATCGGTAATAGCCACGCCAGTCAATCATAAAATTGGACTTCATATAAGTCAGCACATTGAATAAATTAATAATTACAGAGAAAGCCACTGTACACTGTTGATAAAAAAACAAAAATACAAAAAAACCAAAAGTGGTAGCTGCGGTTCGAGCTGAATTGGGCAACTTGATTCATGGGTGTCTAGAGCTGTGTGGTCTAATTGTTTAGCAGATATGTTGCCTTCTTATTGGCTTGGTAAAGGGACACAATTTGCTTAAGATCATGATCCATGATTGTAACTACGAGTCAATAAGTGCTTGACAGAGATGGATTTCAAAAATATAAAAAGAAGAAGAAGAAGAAAATGCGGCATGTACCTTGTAATGTATAGATAGATATCCATGGGTTTGATTTGGTTGAAAAGGTGAGACCTACAATTAGTTGCTAGGATGATAAATGGTTCAGTCAAGCTCCGGTGGTAATCACTTTAGCCTGTGTGTGCAGGACATGATTCCATACCTCCGTCAATAGATACATGACCAATCGATTTCTTGTTTGGCTTGGATTGGCCATGAACCTGCTTGTGGACTGGATTGAGCTACGCATTGCAGTATACTTGGTCTTTTTGGTTCAAAGGATATTTATTTTCCAGTGTTTTACATAAAAGAGGGAAGAGAAAACTAGACCTAGATTTAAGGTTACAGCTTGTGACATACTCTATAAACACTTGTTGCACTTTTAAATTCATGTTCCATGTCGTAAAGCTCTTACATCAGCTGATCTTGGTTTCTGTTGAACTATGTATTAGTTGTTCTTGGTGGTGCCTTCAGAGATCTTCAGGTGGATCATCATTATTCTTGCTGGTTCTGCATCGTCTTGGTTCGTGTATCTAAACCTGAAGGTTTCCACCGAGGGGAGTGATACGAGGCCTCTGGTCGTCAGCGCTCTAGTCTTGCAATTTGCTTTGGCACTCTTCATCAAGATTTTCTTCTTCTCATAGAAAACACCATCTCAGCATTCTATCGCTGATCTTACCACACCAACATTTTAAACTCCATGTATTGTGCTTGAATCGTGTAACATACAGCAGGTGAATTGCTGAACTTTTGACGAGTTGCTGATTATGTATGTTCAAAGGTATAAAATTTCTGTGGAAGCTTATTATGACGCAAGTCCTCCATCCCCTCCCTTTGCATGGCTTTATGTTTGGCAGTCGAAATAATCTATTTAGAACGAGATGGTCGTGATGAAGTCTCGACGAGCTTTCGATTACTGTGCGTGTAACTCATCTGCCATATGTTGGTTGCTGTGGCAGTTGATATCACGGTGTGGATATCATCCGTATATGCCCTTACATTAATCTAGTTTACCTCAATTGTACCGCAAACCGAGTATAATGAAAGATTTTAGTGCGAGTATAATCCGGGGGAAATGTATTTGCTTGGATGGGGAAGGTATTGATTCTGATCGACTCATGCGATCGTATGTGATTATTCTTTATACGGTCGACTGATTTATGTGGTTTGACTCCGAATTATTTAGGCTTCGAAGATGCAAGTAGCGTCACCTACCTACTATATATGGCATTCTTTTCTCAGCTTTATGCTGCTGCATGCATGCATTCCCGAATCTGCTTCACCACGCGTACGGTCGCATTCGTGTCCTAATTTGGTCCACCAAATTATTTCATTAATTTAGATTTAAAAGAATAAATAAAAACCCTAATCCAGGAAGGACATATGCATTTATTTATTCATGTGAATCTTCTTCTTATGTGACATATCAATGTCAAGTCAAGATTTCACGTCTCGCTAATAAATACTAACCATAATAAAAATAAGAACAATTTCCCCATACAAAAAGTAACTCAACCCGCGGACAGCTATACCACACGGAACGAGCTCGGTTCTCTCCCACGTGGGCCCCGCGTTCCCCGAGGAGTCGCCGAGTGACGCGAGCGGGTGCCTCTGCCGTGCGTCGAAGTTTCCTGCGTTCCGGCCGACCCTGGGCGGATCTGTTCTCTTGGAAAGGCCGAATGACGCGATCGGACGATCCCGTGGAGCCTTGCCAAACACGGAGCTCGCACGAGGCGGAGGCGTGGATCCGTCCCGGCGTCTATTAAAGTCTCGGGACGGAGGAGTTCTTCCCCCACCCCCCTATCGTCTTCTCCGCCCGCTCTCTCGCTTCACTCTTCTCCTTGGCGGATGGCGAAGTTTTTCACCCTCAACACCGGGGCCAAGATTCCTTCCGTCGGCCTGGGAACCTGGCAGTCCGCGCCGGGTCTCGTCGGCGCTGCTGTCATCGCGGCCGTCAAGGTACTAATCCTTTCTTGACCAACCCTAGAATGACTTTCTTATCGATCGGACGTGCCACATTCGGATGGCACGCACGCTCTGTTGCTTGCTTCTTGAAGGGCCGACGGTTTCGTCGTGGCCTCTTCTGTCTGCCGTGGGGGTTCGTGCTCCGTTTCTTGCATTCATCGTTGGATCTTGCGACCCCTGTTCTCGGCCGCAGGGACGCGTGCGAAGGGTTCTTGATTCTTTAAGGCCGAGGGCCTTTTTACGGCCTTTGTTTTCGACCATGGAGATGCGCGCTGTGCGCTTCTTGATTCGTTGAGGCCGAGGGGTTGGTTTAATGGCCTCCGAGGGCTTCTTGCTCTGTTTCCTGATTCTTCAGCTCCGAGGGTTTTGTGGCCTCTGTTATCTTCCGCGGCGATTCGTGCTCCGTTTCTCGATCCTTCTGAGGGCTTTGTCGCCTGTCTTCCACCGTCCGAGTCTCTTGGTTCTTTAATCTGTGGGTTTTGCGGCCTCTGCTTTCCATCAAGTGCGTTGATCATTCCTGTAAACGTTGTAGATATCCAATGCTCGATTGTACGGGGAGACGACGGCTCCGTCTGCATTCGTTTGAAACATCCAATGCATTTATCGCAAACCCGTATCGAGAACATCAAATGGGCTTCAAATTTCGTTTCTATAACCCTTATCGTTATCAGAACATCAGACGAAATGTTCATTGTCATCAGAACACCTCCGATTTCGTCTCTCTAGCCCGTCTCAAGAACACCGGCCGAAATGTTTTTTGTCATCAGAAACCCTTCCCCAAGTTCCAATTTCTGCAATCTTGTGGAGGATGCGATACATTTGTTTAGTTGCCTTATTCTTGTTTGTGAAATTAATGTCTCCACATTCGTTTCTCGAACCAATATGCGATGAGGTACCACTTGTTCGTGTGCAATGGTATCCCAATTTTCATACATCTGATACTTGGTTTACCTATTGTGTTCTTGCAGGCTGGCTATAGGCATATTGATTGTGCTCGTGTATACAACAATGAAAAGGAGGTATTCCCGCCGCATAATATCTTTTAATTGCCGTATGCCCATAGGAATATTGCTATTTGTTGCTTCTTGCGCTTGTACTTGTTACTACGGTATCCTCGGCAACACTAACAGAATGCTATGTTTGTAACGATAACAAAACAAAAGACATGTTTATCGAGTCATGTTGAAATTTGAACAGCTGCACAAACTGTTAATTCCTTGGAGCATCTGATTAGTTCATTTCCTTTGTGGTTGTTCTAGGTTGGTTCGGCTCTAAAGAAGCTATTTGATGAGGGTGTCGTGAAGCGTGAAGAGTTGTTTATCACATCTAAACTATGGTGATCCTTGTTTTTTTTTAACTTGTGCAATTAAGTATTCAAGTGGTTATCTTTGAGACGTTTTAGTTTTCTAGCAAATTGCTGAATTAAGAAATTGAAAAGACTTGCTGACTTTTGCAGGTGTAGCGATCATGCTCCTGAAGATGTGCCTGTTGCAATCGATCTAACTCTGAAGGACCTCCAGCTTGATTATGTGGATCTCTACCTTGTAAGTTTACAGGGACAATTCATTGTGCATGTCTATTGTGTATATGTGAAAGGTGTTGCGTAGTAGATCTCTTCATGCCAATATGTTTTTGCTCAAAACTGCATTTCTCATGAAATTTGAGAGCCTATTTCTACAGATTACCAGTTTTTTGTCTTACTGTTTTAATTTGATTTGAAGATTCACTGGCCATTTCGCGTTAAGAAGGGGAGTAGCATAAGCCCTGAAAACTTTTTACCGCCTGATATACCTGCTACATGGGGAGCAATGGAAAAAGTGTACGACTCAGGTAAAGCTCGCGCTATCGGCGTGAGCAATTTTTCTACAAAGAAGTTAGAAGATCTGCTTTCTGTTGCACGAGTTCCCCCAGCCGTCGACCAGGTTGAGTGTCACCCTGGTTGGCAACAGATGAAGCTTCGTGCCTTGTGTCAGTCTAAGGGTGTTCATCTCTCCGTAAGTTTAAAATGTCCTTGTTGTGATTTGTATTTTCTAGTACATTATTATTTTTAGTGCTTCTCTCTCTTTTGCATATTTACTTTTATATGTGACATATTTCTTGGGGAGTTTGCAGGCGTACTCCCCTCTGGGCTCTCCTGGCACATCGTATATCAAGGGAAGCAATGTACTCACACATCCTATTGTAAACATGATTGCTGAAAAACTGGGTAAGACTCCTGCACAAGTAGCTCTGCGTTGGGGTCTTCAAATGGGTCAAAGCGTGTTGCCCAAGAGCACCACCGAAGCAAGGATAAAGGATAACTTTGATGTATTCGGTTGGTCTATTCCCGATGACTTGTTTGGCAAGTTCTCTGAATTTGAGCAGGTAACTACAAATTTTCTATGAATTCTTTTTAAACTATACCCTTTTTTTTTATATATATATCATTGATTGGCGCTATATTTCAATGTTTTTTATATCATTTCTGATTGCATGTATGTTATTCTATGGGGTTTGATTACCTAAAGTTGGGTATTTCTGTAGCAAGTTTTACATGTTCCACCACATTGTTTTTCGATCCGTCCTTTTTTTTTTTTTTTTTTTTTTTCGGTTGAGTAGCTAGTACCATAACTCATGAATCTGGGGTCTCCCTCTGGTATATATCTGCATCTTTATGAAAGATTGTTTGACATGCATGTTTTGTAAAATATGTTTTTTTTTTTAAATATTGATGGCTTAGACATTAAATTCTGGTTTTTAATGGCTTGGAATATTTATCGATATATATATATATATATTTTGGTATCAAACGTCCTTTGTCTAAATCGAGGATGCATGTGCATAGATGCTTGTGTGAGTGTTCCTCTCTCCTGATCTCCCTGTAGAATCAATACAATTTTCCATTTTAAGAATATATTTTGTTTGTCATCGTTGACAGGCACGGCTACTGACGGCCAACTTTTTCGTGCATCCACAAAGCGTTTACAAAAGTGTTGAGGAGCTGTGGGACGACGAGATCTAATCGTTCCGAGTGTTTTTTTGTTTTTTTTTTTTTGTTTTGGTACTCATCAATGATGATTGGATTATCTTTGAACACTGTTTGACCGTGTGATATTTATGGTCAAATTTGTTTGCCACACGGCTCCATTTCTGAACTTTGTTTGTTTTCAAGTCCTTTCTAATGCAACTTTTTTTGAATTTAAACATCAGATTGGTGCAATTGTTTTTCAAGTGTATGTATTAGACAGCGTTCGTGTTGTACTTGGTGCAGCAGATCTCGCTACCTATAATAATGACTGTTGTTTATCATCGGGAATTGATTACTTGTAGTGTAATTAAGTAATCGTTTGCTCATAATTCACAACTGTTGTGTGTGTCGGGTTAATAAAAATTAATTAATTATTTTTAACTGAAGTAAAAATATATGTGATAGTTTATTAATGGTAGTATTTCTTTCTGTCTGAAACAAAATCTCTCCGAAAGTAGTTGTTTAGACTCGTGTCGTAGAATCAATCATTCATGCTATAGATAGCCTTTCCATTTGATAATGATTGTATTAGTAAAGCTCTACAGAAACAATCTTCTTAGCGGTTTCCACGAGTTTTCAATGCGTGTTCTTTTATACAAAACTTTTGGGAGACACAGAAACAAACTTTTGGCAAAATGTTGCACATCGGCAATGGTTGTTGTTCCTTGAGAGATCACATGGATCCCAACATATCTCATTTGTTTTGCAGCAGAATATCTGTGACATGCTATTTTCTTGGTGAAAAGAGAATGAAATTTCTGCCCACCTTTTCCTACTCCTGTTCACGTTTTGAGAGAGAGAGAGAGAAAGTGGTATTCGATCTCCAATGGTGGCTTCTGGTACATCCATCCATGTTGTGGCATTGTCTGGTCTAAAGATTGCGTGAAGCAGCAGCTGATGACCAACCGTCCTCCATCTTGGTGGCCCTTGGCAATGATGACATGGGGACGAGGGGTGGCGAGGTGGGGGCCAGATGTATTTCGTGAACAATGAAGCGAGCCGGGCCGCGGGGGCGAGGCATCTCCTATTTTGGTCTGCGACAAAATGATGGATTGCCGAATGGCATCGTATGAGCTCTCTCTCTCTCTCTCTCAAGGTCAGTATGATCGCCCATCATCGTTTGCTGACTTTTCCTTCAGCTTTTTACCCTTTTCAGCAAAATATTTCTTTTATTTTTCCTACTTGCGTTGATAATGATACTGTTCTTGTCGCATGCATCAACCATAACAATACTGTTCTTGTCGCATGCATCAACCATAACACACAAGCACGCTTGCCCTCGTTGACATCCAAGAGAGGAACAGTAGCATTCTTCATTTGCAAGTTAAGTCTCCTATATTTGGCTGTGGGTGCTGCTTTTCTTAGAAGACCAATTTCGGGGAATAGGAGAGAGAGACTTTACCCAGAAATTTGGTAAGAAAAGACTCCGACCAACCAGTTGAACATCTGATACTGACAATATTATTTGCTGGTATTATATTTTATTACTCCAAGAACCAACCAATACATCTATAATTCTACACTTGCAAACTCACTTTATTTCTCTCTATAATTCATAACAAATAGCGGGACTCCTTTTTTCAAGACCCAAACCCCTTAGAACAGAGGAGGAGGAAGAACCATATTAATTCACAGGTTGTGAAGAGCACAGAGACTGATCGATCGATACCATTTATAGCAAGCGGAGACGACCTGCAACGCGCCTTCATCACCTCCGCCACCCTCATGCAGGACGCCACTGAGCTGCGCGCCGGCGCGGAGACTGCGGAGCCGCGGGCGCCGTCAGTGGTCTCGGAGACGAAGGAAAGAAGCGGACGTCCGACGACAGAAACCTACCGGAGTCACCGGCCGGTAGCCGCACGTAGGAAGCCGAGGGGGAGTCGTGGAACAACAAGCTCCCTATGTTGGAAACCTGTCCACCGTTCTTGTATCGGACTATGGCCTTGTAGACGAACGGAATGAGACCTTCCATGGTGAGAGCACAAAAGCTGAGACAGGTTGGTGGTGGCCGGGAGAGTTGGAGGAGACTTTGAGGTTTTGTCTTGAGAGAAGAGAGATGGGGAGACATTGGGTTATAAAGAGCGGTGATTGATTAGTGGAAGCCAGCTGCTGAGAAGAAGCTAACCAAGGCAAGCTCGGTCAGAGAAGGGAGAGGAGATGACCGAGGTGGCTGGCTATCCACAAACCAGTAGCTTTCAAACCCATTGACATCTTACCAACTACAATAAAACCATGTATCCATGCTTTTGATGTGGATGATTTCAATATAATAAATGTCAGAGGTGGGTAGCAGCAATCTTGTCAGTTTTAAGACAAGATTCCTTTCCCTTATCTCCACTCACCGGACACTACCATCACAGGTTACCATCAGAGACTGATTCTTCCACAAATTTTGGTGCAATGTTACTTTCATTGGGAGGAAGGGGAAAAGAACACCATCCAGTGATGATGAAGGTACCAAGTACGGGTCACAAACAAGATGATGATGACAAGCATGGTTTCTGAAAGAAACAGAGCTTACATTAGAAATCTTTTCGAGCATAAACACACAACTTAGCTAACAAGCAATGCATTCATAATTGTCTATATTTGCAGCTATATATTATGGATTTGGGCGTACCTGATTCGAGCATCGTAATCTAATATTTTAGCTGGAGAAATCCAAGTTGAAGACCACAAGAACCATTCAGAGGTGTTCATGAACGACTACCATGCTGAAATGGTAGGCCACATCGATGCCCGCCCATCGGATAGGACTGTTCAATAGGATCTGGAAACAAAAGCAAAAGAACGTGAGAAATGTGAAAACCATGGGCGATCGGAGCCTGACCCATAATTCTACTGGCTCAAACCGATCCATCCTCCCATGCATGGACCCAATTGACATTATCACGACCGTGATGACCTACCGAATAATTTGAGGCTTCACATTGTATCAGAATGAGCTGAGAATATACTTCAACGAACGGCAGAAGTGAAAGTAGGGAAGAACACTGTAGCAGTTCGTTTGTGAGGAGGACATACATACTTTTACCATACATAATATGCAAGAATTCTTTGACAAGAACAAATGATGCAAGTGAACAAAATTTACAGATAAATAATCTAAACAGAAAAGCGTATTACAAGGCAAATTACAGCACCCAATGATGCCGACTGCCTCGGAGCTTTACTGGAGATGTCACTTGATATCAGTTGCAGAGCAGTGTATCCCTAGTGGAGTTTCCGGTTACAGGGTTCACCCTGGTGTGGACATCATTTAACACAATAAGGACCCTTCTAATATTGTTGCGTGGAATTTAGAAACTGTGGATTAGAAATGCAATGAGATTTTACCCATCGGCAACTTTGCAAAGGTACTCCCGTTGGTCTTCTCGCAGGGGAACATCCGTGAAGTCTGACCAAAAAAAAAAAGATTATCAGGATACAGTTTCGACTCACATTCATAAATTTACATGGAATATACTTTCCATGAATCACTCATGCATCACTGCCGTCTATGGTTGGAGAGCTTATGATACACAGCAATTGATGTAGTAGTGAAAACAGAAAAACCAGGACAACTACAGATCAGCTGATAATACAAAAACTGCATCTCACTGAAATCAGATACACCAAAAGGTTGAGAAAAAAATATAAGGATTCACCTACAACACCTACAATTGGACATTCTTAAGGGCTTCTAAGAGAATGAATTTTATCATTAGTATTGGAAAATATTCCAGGTTCTCTATATCAATCTTAGTCTGAATTATCACGTCAATGCACAATGTCCCTCTTTGAACCTTACAGAGATCTCATCTGGTAGTTCGATTAAAAGATTAGAAATAAGGCCTCTAATGTCAAAATAACTTTTAGCAATATTAGCAGTCGGTGGACTATTTTCCTCATTAGTTACGTCCCAAGAAAAAAGATGACCTAAAAACCATTTGAAGTAGCCATGAAGTCAGTCAAACTAATACTCCAAAAGATACAAGATATACATTTCCTGTTCTAACATTAATGACTAATTTAGATTGATATAAACTTAGTTATCCACTAAGTGATTGAAGAAAGATACAGCTTGCTTCCTTTGTCCTTCAATCTGCCCTGGAATTTCTCCAGGATTTCGACATTCAAGAACGCTCCTCGATGGTTCTTACATCTTTATAGACCTTTTTCCCGGAAAGCAATACTATCATTCATAAATGAGTTCTACATCACTAACCATCAAGGTTCCGGATGCAGATTGTAAGGCAAAAAAACTTCCACGGAACCCCCACAATTTCGAATTATGATATCTGCTGACAATTAATGATAAGAAAATTCTTTATTTGGCTTATATCTGCTGCAACGTCATGGATTTAAACTCATTCATATATGTTCCAACACAGAATCACCATGGACTCTGTACTACATGCCTCCTTGTGTCTTTATCTTTTTTATAATCCAAATTATGAAAATAATCTTCAAACGTTAGGAAATGTTGACAATATTCAGAGTTAGGATATGTGTACCAGATAATAGAAGGTGTTTGTGAATCAAGATAATGTTTCAAAGTTGCAAATGACATTAGTTACTTATTCTTTTCCAATACAAGGTTATATTCTGTCGCAGGAAATTTTATCCAGATGGAGGACTGAAGCTGACAACAATACACACAAAACAGTCCTAATCACATGATTATCCCCAAACAAGATGAAGATCTATTCAAACTCAGTTTGACATTGGAGTTACCTGCTCCATTGATATTTGATCCTCTGAAAGAAGTGTTGCCAGTAGCAAGAGCACCTTCAAGATTTGCATTACTTAGATTTGCCTATAGAAAAAAGGAAAAAAGAAAAGAGAAACATCATAAAACTATTAGAATCTCTCTGTTATATATTGAATCTCGCAAAGCATAGTGTAATGAACTTCTCTTTCCTAAAGGTCCTAAGAGGAGATGGATTAAATTCCCACTAGTTTCTTGACCATCAAGTTCTGAAGTGGATTATTAACGTCTTTTATTAGTTGTAATCAGTACTGATTTCTTATTTTGCCCTCCTTTTTCAGTCTGTCTCATCCAATGCCCTTCTTCATCCTATAACACAGAGCGAGAATCACTGACAATTCTCTGCTTTGGCCATTATTCCCTCCATCTATTCTCCCACACTTGTGGCCTTCCCACCACTATCAACTTGGCAGGTGTCACACAAAATATAGAAATGAAAAGCCATGTACTATTTTCTAGACCTAGGAACATCAACTTAACGATGATAGTAAACTAAAACTCAAGAAAAAGGAAGAGAACTGATGTATAGAAGCAATTATATTAATCAAGTACCTTAGTCACATTGGCCAAGGAAAAGTCTGCACCCCTGAGATCAGCATCAGAGAGATCAGCTCCTGAAAGTAACTTCCAAAATATGAGGGCTGGTTGATCGCTAAATCATGCACTAAAAGTATGCCAACATATGTACAGCTCAATACAATAATATGGATATTGGTTTGAAGGCCAATTTCACCAGCATTTTCTTACTAAAATAATCCAATATTTCGTATCTTTGCTACACCTCCGAACACCATAATTTAACAAGGTTCTTCACTTGCTACATTTTTTTTGTCTTGAGATAACACGAGAAAGCACCTTAAAGAACTTCCTTAAAGGTTCTTTTCTTTTTCATACAAACGGAACTGAAAATTCTACTAATTGTAAAACCGTATAAGTAGCTCTAAAGAAAAAGTCGAAGCATATCTACGCTTCCAAAATCAAACATTAATTGTTGAGCTAGATAGCCTCTTACACTAAAAAGAATCCACAACCTGTCAGATCTGCATCAAAAAAGCTCGCACCGAGTAACTTTGCGCCCTTGAAATTGGCCTGCCTCAGGATCGACTGCAAGCAAGCAAATGGGAAATAATCAACCTCAACTAAACCAGACAGCAATATGGAAATTTCCAAAAGAAAAAGGAAGAAAAATCTCAAGTTTGAAAGCATTTACCGTCTTGAAGTCTTGTTTGATGAGGGTCTTACCACTGAAGTCTTTGCCGGTGAGGTCTTGCCCTCTCGTTACTTCCGCCCCGTACGGCCCTCCACCCTGCCGATTTCCAAAACACTATCATCGAACAAGAGCACCCAATTTCCGTATTCCCGAACGATTTTAGCTTCTGGACAAGACAAGGGCAACCTTAAAAGCGAGAGCAGGGTCGGCGAAGAAGAGGGAGGCGGCGAGGAGGGCAACGGCGCTCACCCGACCTAAGCCTTCTCCCAGCTCGGCAACCTAAATTCGATCGAAATTAACACCGACGCTTGTGAATCCAAGAAAAAGGGGAAGGTCAGGAGGACTTGTTCGACTTACGGACGAGCATTGCGGTGGCGAGAGGCTAGTGCGAGGAGCCGAGGCCGAGAGGAATCGCCGCCATTTGGAAGAGTTGTGAGGGACGAGAGAGGGCAAGGGAGAAAGCGAAGGAGGAGGAACGAGATTTAGACTACCGATGAGAGCGGCCATGGGCGATATATCTCCTTCGGCTGTTCGCTATCTTCCGCCTCTCTCCCTCCCGTTGTTCGCTATCTTTGAGTCCATCGACTAACTTAGTATTATCTTTGATATCTCGATTTTTGTATTTTTAAGAATTATATCAAAAATTTTATATTTATACAAATAAAATATTTATTTTTTATATTTATAAATTTTATTAATAAAAATACCATATATATTCAGTGATAAACCAAGATAGAGTTATCATATGCTAAATTGTAAATCCTATAGTATTGCTATCAATTAAATATTTTATCTTCATAAATAAAAGTATTTTAATATAATTTTTGAAAGTATAAAACTAAGATAACTAATTATAAAAATAATATATAATTAACCTCAATAAGAGTATTATTATTATTTATTTATTTACTACTATAAGTGAATGATATTTTTATTACCATATGATAATAACCATTTTCTAGTAGGACATCATATCATATCTTTCATCACTATTTGATACCGAGTCAGTCAAATCTTTCCTTCACCAATTTGTATTTTATAATTTTTAAAAAAAAATCATCAAAATACATTGAGAACTTCGGAATATATGGATTCCTACCTTTCTAAATTTATGGATTCCTACCTTTCTAAAAGCTAGAGAACCAACGAAAACAAGGTAAGAATTTGGCACCATCCATGTGGTAGTAGACAAAGGGCCTTAGAGCTAACATAGAGCGACAATTCAGACTCGAATAAAGCGATCACATGACCTTCGCATTATTCGATGTCGTATACATCGACGCCAAACACCTTGGAGTCATTCTGTAAAACTCGTGACGATACCGCACGACGTCGACCCGAGCAGCATCGGACACCTAGGGCCGTTCCACAAAACTCGAGACGGTGCCGACCCATACGAGTTGGTTGACGCTCGTCTGCAGGGTACGAGCCATCCTCCCAAGGAGTTAGTGGCCATTAAAGGATCACATATGACCGATCGCCTTGTCACAAAGTATAAAAACCAATCCTCCGATGGACTACGAACACTCAACTCTCTTATTCCACTCAACTCTAACTTAACCTTCGGAGGGATCGAATCAAGAAATCTTTCTCCCAACCTTAGCCTGTGTATAGGAGCTCAACGACGAAGAAACAGTCTACTCGCCAAGAGAGAATAGAGAAACGAGTCTCGAACTCAACCTAACCGGAAACTCGCTTCTACCACCCGAGCATCCACGTGGACAATCTTACGTATCTAAGATTGGACTGAATCGTGCTGACACCTCGACCACGATGTAAAGATTAACCAACAAGAAGAGAGAAGATAAAGCTCACAATCCTAAAGAACAACTTACATAGTATCGACACCTATCTACCGCAGCAGGAGGAAAGTTTCTGTCTCGGAACAACACCAGTATTCCGTGATCCTTCAAAGCTGGATGAGAGTGCTAAGATGTTGTCAACATCAGGAGAATTAAACTGGAGGAGGAGACTTTTCTTCTATTCTCATTATTTATCTTAGCATGATTAATTTAATAACCAGATGTATAGAGGTTGGGTCGGAGAAGTCTCCGCAAACACTGCGGTGGGAATGCGGCGTTCAGATCGCCGACAAAATAGAACTATAATAAGGATTTAAGCATGTGGGTCGATGAAGGCGGGTGTCGAAGTCATGGAAAGGACGAGGACGATTCCTCCGATCTTCTCCGTCCGTATTCGACATTGCCGGGGACAGACAGACGGTACGCTGTCCCGTCCGTAGACAGAGAGCACGGAATGCGCGGAGCAACATAAAGCGGAGGTGGCGTTCGCAAGTACGATGGCGCACTTGCAAAGCCGGGGTCGAGGGTTCCATCAACGTGCGTCGCATGACGTCGAAAACTACGAAGGGGAGGAGGCGTTTGTACCATTCTCATCCCACTGACCATGCGCTTCCATCCATCTTCGCATTGTATGCATAAATATAGACGCAAGCATCGATCGAAAAGGGATGCTGAGGCTATCAAGTCCTGCGCGGTTGCGACAGCGATGTTCATCACCTCGGGACGGAGTGTGGAGTCGGAGTGGGGATGTCTACTCGCCATGAATCTGCCACACTTTCCATTTTCGGCAATTTAGAGAATCCAGGCAGGAATACTGTCATGGATCATCTCACCTTGTCGCAGAAAGATGCAAAGTTTGACATGACAATCTCAGGCAGGATTTGTCATCCTTCTAAATCACGTATTATTTTGTCTGATATATATGTGTGTAATTTTGTCGATAGAAAAAGAGGAAAAGGAAAAAGAAGCAATGGCGCTCCAAATCAGAAGGTTAAAGTCGTGTGAACAGAGCGTGCAAATTGCGATGGTCGGCATATTGGATTGGGTGCCGGCGCCGTTTAGGAGACCGGGCCGTCTTTAATCTGCGAATAGACCGATGGATGCAAGTTTCCCGGGGCTTTTCTCTTCGGAGACTGTGTCGGAACACGGGACGCTAACGTGTACCAGCTACGGCAAATGCGCCGCACGTTGCCCCCACCACGTGAATCCCGCTTCAACGCCGACCCAACTCATCATCGTGATCGAAAGAGTACAGCGGAATCATCACGGCAAGACAGTGAGAAGTGCACATACATGGCAACAGATGGGAGGCGAATCAGGATGCCAAACAAACAAGTACAAGCAAAGCGTACTCCTGGCGGAGTAGAAAGTAACGATGGGGGTAAAACTGGGATCTTGCTCGGTGAAAATGGGAGCTTACTCGCAATAAAGAGAGGGAGAGGGAGATGGAGACCTGTGTTTGTTGGGTGGCGCTGAGAAGGCTCAGCATCTTATCCCGGCCAAAAGAAGGAAAAGATTGTCCCCGATCTTATCGACCTTAGATTTAACGATCGCTTTCTTCCGTGAAAAGAGAGAGAGAGAGAGAGAAAATTGGAAGAATTAACCACTTTGCGCTGCCAGAACCGGTGGATCTGAGACCGTCTTTTCCTCCATGTCAACCTGATCGATAGACCGCAGGTTGTTTTAGTGAGAAGGAACAGGGAACCGAGATTTTACTTAGTGAGAAGGAACAGGGAACAGAGAGAGAGAGAGAGAGAGAGAGAGAGAGAGAGAGGGAGAGGGGTGGAAACTTGGCTAGGTAGGTGTTGGAATGGCGTTAGGGTTTGGACAATGTTTCGGATGATGGCAAGTCCTTCACGAGATCTACTGAAACAGTAGCCATAAGAACAGGACAAGACTCCCAAAAAAACCTATAGAAAGAAAAAGATAAGAGGGAGCTGAAGTTTCTTACGAGCGAAAGGAGATCAAACAGGAGAAGGGAGAGAAAGCTAGTTTGACCGGAAGGAATGGATCGTAGAAGGCGATAGGCGGTGCTTCTCTCTATCTTTCTCTCTCGATTGGTCTCTCTCCACCCTTGCTCTCCTTGCGAGTTGCTGTTTTAGAGAGGAGAGCTGGCGAACCGGTGGTGGGCCGGGAGCGTGGCGATGGGCGGGGTCGACCCCGTCGTGGCCACCTCCCCCTCGACCCCTTCCTTCCATCTCCGCAACGCCAACGCCCACCTCAGCCCCCACCGCCTTGACCTAGCCGACAACCCCGCCACCCCGAACAGTAGCGGCAGCAAGAACAACAACCACGCCAACGACGACGACGCCATCGGGGACGACCACTCCGGCGGCGGCGGCGGCGGGGGCAGCGGGGGCCTTGACGTCCTCGAAGCCGGATCAGGAGGTAGCGGCAGCTCCGGGCGCCGCCCTCGGGGCCGCCCGCGCGGCTCGAAGAACAAGCCAAAGCCACCCGTCATCATCACGAGGGAAAGCCCCAACGCGCTCCGCTCCCACGTCCTCGAGATCGCGAGCGGCACCGACATCATGGATGCCGTGACCGTCTTCGCCCGCCGCCGTCAGCGCGGCCTCTCGATCCTGAGCGGCACCGGTGTCGTCACCAACGTCACGCTCCGGCAGCCCGCAGCGCCCCCGGGCACCGTCGTCAGTCTCCATGGCCGGTTCGAGATCCTTTCCCTTTCCGGCGCATTCCTTCCGGCGCCGTCGCCCCCGGGCGCCACGGGGCTGACCGTGTACCTCGCCGGCGGGCAAGGGCAGGTGGTGGGTGGGAGTGTGGTCGGGGAATTGGTGGCCTCAGGCCCGGTGATGATAATAGCCGCCACCTTCACGAACGCCACCTACGAACGGTTGCCTCTCGGCGAGGAAGAGCTCGACACGGTTGCAGCGCCACCGGGATCGGAGGGAATGCCGTCACAACAGAGCCCGGGAGGGAGTGGGGCAGATGGCGTTGGTGGTTCTTCGTCGCAGCAGCCGCATGCTAGATTGGCAGCCGAGCCGCCGCTCCTCAACCTGCCGCCGAACCTGCTCCCTAATGGTCAGATGCCGCACGAGGTGTTCGGTGCATGGGCTTCAACCGGTTCGCGTGCTCCACCATCCTACTGATGAGTACCAAAGCTTCCTCTTTCGCATGCTCAATATTTAGTAGGAAGAGAACCAATTGTCATGCTGCTTGTTCCTGCTACAAATCATCATGTCTTTCCATCTAAATCTTACTATGGCATCGATACTACGCATCGTTTTGTAAACTTAGACATGTATTATTATTGTTAGCTGCAGTTTCTGATAGTTGTGCTGTTTGTTCTTTCTCAGCATCTCTCTTCAATCCATAGCTACTAGCTTTTCTGCAACTTGTCACAGTGTAGCTATAGTTGGTGAGTGATTGGAGGAGAGTTGAGGTGGTCGGTAAGTAATTGCCAATTTGATTTCTTGAGGGAATCCATGGAGTGCAGTGTTTGACTAATGCTTTTCAATTAATGTCGTTTGCTCATTGCATCTTTTCCAAGTTAGTTGTTTCCATTTCAAGTTTGGGTGGGGATGTTTTGGGAGTGCATGCTTTAACCTCAAGAAAGGACACTGTGCATCGTGCTGTTTGGTCTTCTCCTGGTAGGGCAAACGAGATAAAGGTGGTAAAGATTAGGTTGCAACATGGAAGAATGGCATCATAGTGCTCTTCCTGTTCTTTTTTCCGTGTCTGACCGACCCAGGCCTGATGTTCTTCTTTTTGTTCACTGTCGTGTCTATGGGTAACTATAAGACTGGATTATTATTTGA